AATAGTGTGATTTCAGAGATAGATTGTCGGGGCAGCAGTAGAGGCCCCCTTATTATTGCTGAAACCTGATTTGCATGCTGTTTTGTGAGCCTGTCGCAGTAGTTAGGAACAGAGGACGTAATACGACAAAGAACCCTCAGGTTGTCTTGCTTCTTCAACTCTTGCTTTATATCCCATTGTAAGTGTCTATTCTATCTTTCGAGGTTTAACACGGATTATATATGCTATGCGGATTCATCAACTCATTGCTGACTCTCAAACAAAACATCTGGAATTCCCAACTTTAACATTCTATCTATTCCAGGGGGTAAAATTGTCGACGTAATCTAGTTCTAGTTCATTCCCGCGGAGACACTTTACAAGTTACCGTCCTATTTATCGGAGCTAACAAGCTCTTCAATGGCGATAAACCTCATCTGCCTCACCCATGGAAGAAGCTTCCGAGACTTCTTTATTAGCAGAGAGGCTTACTACGCATGCCAAAAAAGTTTATTTTCTAGGCTTACCTCAACATAGTGCTATATAACAAATACGAGCCAACTTAGAACGACGCTGGTCATTTAGCTGTAATTGAGTGCAAAAACAATGGTCTCTGCGGTAGCTGGTCAGAATTTCAATTGATTTTCCGCTGTTTCATTTTCAGGATTCGCAGGAAGTTTGGTTTTAATCATAGTAGCTTAAAAAGAACACCTGAGTAGCTAAACTAGTTTTCATTAATAATCCGCCGTTTCCTTTTAAAGATTCATAATAATAATAATTGTAGTTCCTGCGAATCGCAGAGGAGCTATCAGTAGGCCTTAACAGTCCTGTCGAGGATAGTCCGTTTGTATTATTTCCCCACATTCCAGACTGTGTTATTTTGTTGAGCGAAGCTCTTTTTTGCGACCCAAGGCCGTTTTTGTGCGTCTAGAACTTTCATGTGGTACCACTTTTGCAGCCAAATTTGGTCAGGTTGTGGTAGACCTGAAGCTAGAGGTCAAGTGAGAGCTCGTCTTCACACACTATCATTGCCATGGCATGGGATCGATTACACGATCTGACTATTCTAAAGTGAACGCCTTACCACTATGCTAAGTGCCCCTAAGAGCGAAAAGATGGAAGGAAGAAACTTTTGATGTAAACATATTGGATACTTCAAAGGAACCACATAAGAGCAACATCCGGAACAGCAGTTTTAAAAGAAGTCGGGAAGATGAGCTGTCAAAATTGATCTGGAATATTATGACACCCCAGTAGCTTGTTAGCCAACTTAAAAAAAGAAGTCCCCAAACATATGGCTGAAGCTGCACTTCGCGAACATGCAAAAACCGACAAAAATTAATACGAAAAAAAACTTTAAAAAAGATAACCGGTTACTTTGCAAGTACCACAGAATGTTCCGACCATAGTCAAAAATACAAAATAGAAGTTTTTCAGAATAAGTGTCGTTTTTCTGCGTGGTGTGATGAAAAGATCTGAACGAAAAGCTAGAGCTTAGGAATATTCGACAGTCGTCGAAAAATAAGTAGGAAAACAATTTTTGCAGAAAAATTACTAGAGAGTCAAAAATTTTTTCAAATTTGTGGGTTTTTCTATAATATATGATTCAAAAAAGGCACTAATACTCAAAAAAAACTAGCTTTTCTCGAGTAAAACTAAGTTTTAACGGCAAAAACTAAGCTACTGTAAGCTTTTGAGCTATTAAAATTCTTGTGATAGACCTAATTGTTGTGATAGGCTTATTGAATAGTGTGATTTCAGAGATAGATTGTCGGGGCAGCAGTAGAGGCCCCCTTATTATTGCTGAAACCTGATTTGCATGCTGTTTTGTGAGCCTGTCGCAGTAGTTAGGAACAGAGGACGTAATACGACAAAGAACCCTCAGGTTGTCTTGCTTCTTCAACTCTTGCTTTATATCCCATTGTAAGTGTCTATTCTATCTTTCGAGGTTTAACACGGATTATATATGCTATGCGGATTCATCAACTCATTGCTGACTCTCAAACAAAACATCTGGAATTCCCAACTTTAACATTCTATCTATTCCAGGGGGTAAAATTGTCGACGTAATCTAGTTCTAGTTCATTCCCGCGGAGACACTTTACAAGTTACCGTCCTATTTATCGGAGCTAACAACCTCTTCAATGGCGATAAACCTCATCTGCCTCACCCATGGAAGAAGCTTCCGAGACTTCTTTATTAGCAGAGAGGCTTACTACGCATGCCAAAAAAGTTTATTTTCTAGGCTTACCTCAACATAGTGCTATATAACAAATACGAGCCAACTTAGAACGACGCTGGTCATTTAGCTGTAATTGAGTGCAAAAACAATGGTCTCTGCGGTAGCTGGTCAGAATTTCAATTGATTTTCCGCTGTTTCATTTTCAGGATTCGCAGGAAGTTTGGCTTTAATCATAGTAGCTTAAAAAGAACACCTGAGTAGCTAAACTAGTTTTCATTAATAATCCGCCGTTTCCTTTTAAAGATTCATAATAATAATAATAATTGTAGTTCCTGCGAATCGCAGAGGAGCTATCAGTAGGCCTTAACAGTCCTGTCGAGGATAGTCCGTTTGTATTATTTCCCCACATTCCAGACTGTGTTATTTTGTTGAGCGAAGCTCTTTTTTGCGACCCAAGGCCGTTTTTGTGCGTAGAACTTTCATGTGGTACCACTTTTGCAGCCAAATTTGGTCAGGTTGTGGTAGACCTGAAGCTAGAGGTCAAGTGAGAGCTCGTCCTCACACACTATCATTGCCATGGCATGGGATCGATTACACGATCTGACTATTCTAAAGTGAACGCCTTACCACTATGCTAAGTGCCCCTAAGAGCGAAAAGATGGAAGGAAGAAACTTTTGATGTAGACCCTAAGCTATCAGTAACCAAAGAGCCTATAACCAATGAATTGGCCAATCCGGAAACCAAGAAGCCGTTTGAACAGCCCGTATAAATTATTGAGTAACAACGAAAAAATTAAACCTTCTTGGGCAAAAACATATTGAAACAAAAGAAAAATTATTTGAACATACCAATGATCTATCAGATCTGACAGACCGCTGTATAGAGCTAGAGAAGTACTCCAGGAAACAATGCCTAACTTAAGTAAATCTAGACTATGGAGAGAAACGAATAAAAGGCTGAGCGACAAAAGCCCCCGGCGCAAAAGTTACATGTACATGAACACCTACATGCAAAAGCACGGGGGGCTTTTGACGGGGGGCTTTTGTCGCGGGGGCTTTTGACGCTCAGCGGAATAAAATTGATTTGCTTAAATTTTTACGACAGTATATGAAAGTGAATTTAAATAAGAAAATATTGCAGCGTTCCACCCTTTAAGCAACAAACTAAAGTCGCCGTTGGTTCTCAAATTAATCTGTAATGCAGACAGAAATTTAATATAGCTAAGAAAAAACTGGCTGAAAAATGTTCGTAACTCTAAGAACTTCCCAATCATGATTGAAGAAGGCCTCGCCCCTAGAGACAGAAAAAAAGTTATACTCACAAACAAATTGTTTTCGTGGGAAATCCGAACGATTCAACTTTGGAACCAGTTCAACTAAAGTCTACCGACGAGCTTGCATCATTTGCACGACCCCAAGAAACGAATAATGAGCAGTTGGATCCGCAGATGAACGTAGGAATGAGTATTAATGATTATTTTAAATTTGAGTTGATCAATGAAACCCCCACATTGTCACCATTACGAAGAAAACCAGATACTCAACGAAGCCAACAACGATTTAAGCAAAAGTTTGTTTTATCACCATTGAAGAATCTCGGCAAAAGTCCATGACAGAAGATATTTTGAGTACACTGGTGCCCGCAATAGTCAATGCAACTCAATCAGCTATAAAAATGGCTCGAAAGGACTGTCAACTTCAGGAAACTCCCTTTTGGCTGGACCAGGATACGACCAAAAACAAACCAACAAATCTTTCGGTACTACTTTTAAATGCAATATCTCTGAAAACACATGCTGAAGATATAGAAGCCATTATACATTGTCTTGAAACTCCGCCGATCTTACTATGCCTGATTGAAACCTGGCTCAATGAAAATGATGATCTTAAGGCATTTGTTATAAATGGGTATACCCAATATAGATCTGAGTCACACCGATGCAAAGGGGAGAGGGGTAATGATTCAAGCTACAACGAATGCGATATAATCGAGAAGGCCACTGAATTTCTTAGAAGAACCAATAACTGTGAAAATTGCATATAAACATTATATTTTTATGTTAACACTTATATATAATCCACCTATAAAAAACAAGTGAAATTTCATTGAAAATTTAGATTCACTACTTGAATCATGACCCCTAAAATGACATACTTTTTTGCGGAGATTTCGACACATTAAAAATTATTATTGTCAGACAAAGCTATTCAATATGCTATTCAAATCTTATGCATTTGAGTTATTAGTTAAAACAGTGACTCCTATAGTCAATGAGTCACAGACCTGTACTGATCATTCTGCAGTTAGAGACATCGACAGTATTTCAGTAAATGTTTCAGAAAACCATGAATTTGCTTATCATTGCCCAGATGAAATTAAGTTTCGATTCAAACCAACTGCAGACGATAATATGCAAACTTATCGTGATACTTCTTTCACAAATCCTGAATCAGGTAGAAAAATTATTCTTCCTTAATCATAGACTACTAAAGTTTATCACAATTTATGATTATCTGCGCTAGCTGATTTTGCGTGGAAAGAAAAAAAACTAAAACACACCCGAATATAAAGTTCCTCCCAATCATTTTCTACGGGTGACTACGGGATTCGAACCCAGGCCTCATCATTGAGCCGTATATATTAACCACAGCTCCATTGTGCCTAACTTCGCCGTAAATACAAGCAGCAAGGAATGTGCCTTGACTTAACGGATATGGCTGAACTGAATTTGAACTAAACGCCAGGTTATAACAAATATAGTAACCGTTCTTATAGTAATATAGTAACCGTAACAACTTGCACAAAAATCGGCAATCATTTTCATATTCAAAAACATACCAATGCAATGCATCGTGTTCTTTCTCAGAGCACTGCCACTTTGCTTTGCCTTTTTCTTTTTACCTCCACTTCCCTCTCCCATTTTACTCTCTCCATTCGAAGTTTTCTGTTTCTTGTTCGGAACGACGTCGTCTTCTGTCGTATTAATGTCGGCATCTGACTCGTCGTCCTCGTCGCTAGATGAACTGTCGCTATCGTTTTCCGTCTCTCCAAACTCGACCTCAGATTGAGTTTTCTTTGCAAATGATCGGCATTTGAAAAGGTAAATTCTATTTTCTGAAACAACGAATCAGTTGTAAAAAAACTAAGTAAAATAATCACTCAGATTTATTTTAAAACAGCTGTTTAATTCTGAAACTGAGCTCATCAATAAAAAAGACTTGCGTTGCGTACCCTTTCAAAAATGGGTTATTATTTCAAACCGTTTTATCATTTCAAAATGCAGAGGTATGATTTTAAATTCCTACTAAATTTCAAATGACAAAACTTTTTTATATTCTAATACATAACTATCTTTTTTCAACTTAATTTCAAAATCTAAGTCGATTGAAAAACAAACAGGCGAATACTTAAATATAAGTTTTAATACCTTTATCTTTGTCCGCTTGCGACCCCGCAACAAAAGTGAGAGTATAAGGCGACTTGTGTTGCACTGGGTCAAACGATCCAAAAGCATCCACCGATAAACAAGGCCAACTCAACTTCATTGTTCGGAATAAATCATACACTGACATGTCTAGCTCGCCATCCTTCAATTGGACACCTCGGCCGGCTTTGTTTTCTCTATTCGTTACCCCTTCATTCGCGGTAGAAGTATCAACATCTTCATTATCATTTTCGTCGACTAAATCAAACAAGGACATCTGCACGGATTACTTAAATCGACAAACTTTGGTAAAAAGTTTTTGAGGACTGCTAGAAACTTTTTTTTATTGTTTAACCCGCGTTTGAGAGAACCACTATCTAACACCATTTTTCTATGAAGCAGAACATCGAGCTCTCCCCAAAGATCCGAGTTGAATTGCAGGTAAATAAGGAAAAATATCAGAATAATGCAGCTTTCAGCAACCGATAGTGATGAAAAAGCGACAAAGGCGTGCGCCTTCAGCCGCAAGGTCCGTGGTCCGAAGCGCCAAAATGATCCCCGCTCGCTGCTTGCAAGGGTGAAATAAAATTTCCTATCACAGAAAAATAACCAGAACAATTGCAAGTATTTATAACTTAGTGGCACAATAGTAGCAAGCCGCAAGGAGCTGTACAGCTTACATAATAGAACTTTCATGGTGGTCTAACAAAAAAGTATTTTGTACTTTAAATAAAGGAAAAAACAGATATCAATTATTTTATTGTCTTTCTTTCAGTAAAATTATACAAATGAAGTATTCAAATGCCAGTTAATACAGTCTATGAAAATCAAACATGATAAACAAAAATTTTTCTCGAAACTGGATAAAAAAATGTTCTCTCAAATATTTGCGATGCCACTAAAAATTATACGCGGTGAAAAAATAGTACTAAGCATTTCAAACCTTTTCATCAATATTCATTTCAACCTCAACAATTATTAATATACGCCATAAAGTTGATTTGAAGCAGATCAATTATCATTAAAAAATTTTAAAAAACATTACGCTAAAATTACTAACCTAAATCTGAGCACTAGTCTGAATGAACAAACGCAAAACGAAAGATTTGGAAATGAAAGAGCGTCTTTCAAAATAATAATTGAACACAGGTGAAGCTGCGCTTCGCAAATACTAGCGAGAACACGACAAAAAGCAGTTCTAGAATTCTAACCGAACTCAAACCTACGACCTGCTGTTACCTAGAAATTATGAGTCTCACGCACTAACTACTCAGCCACGGACGCTTAGTTCATCACAAACACTAACCACAAATAAAGCTGAGAAAAGATTCTATGAAATTTCCAATGTTCGTGATCGTGATTATAGCAAAAAGGCACACAAGTGAAAAATTTTATTTGCAAGTTGGGAAGAAAAAAAGAGAAGGTTCTGACTAAAACACTAGCTGCTCGCTAGCAAAAATTTAAAAAAAAAAAAACTGTTTTTTTTCTCTATGTATAGGTGTTTATAATCGCTTGTAAACCCCGATGTTTCCGGTTGAGTATAATAATTGGATACTGTTCCGACTTACGAAGGAAGTGACCGAATATTTGACCACAAATTTCGACCGTTTAACTGGCAAATTTTGTCGGAATTTCTAATATCATCCAAAAAACCATGTGGCCTGAGCCCGAATATGAAACAATATGTTAGCCGTTTTAAGTTTTTGCAATTTGCGGCTGACTTGAAAACTGTCACTTTGGCCATATTGGGACAAGTAACGCGCGATTTCATTCGTGCTATTAACATGCAAGGCTATTCAATCAGGCTCAGAAATCAATCCAAAATGAATGAAAGCATGCCAGTTGTTCTAATTTAAACGGTACTATATGCTAAAAGACTGCTCGTATATCAGGGCAAAGCCCTGAATGTTCCGACTGTCCCTGACTTCATATGGAATAGTTTTTGGGAAAAGAAAATATTGAAAACCTTTAAATTTTGGATAATATCAAAGTGTGAAATGTTGAGTCGTATGAAATTAACACGACTGATCCGATTAGCTAGCCGCAATTCAATTAGGAACAATTTTGTTGTGCGTGATAATTCGCCACGCATAAATAATTCGCATTACCATCCCAGAAATTTGAAAAAATTCATCAAAGCGCGCATAATTTAGTCCAAAACATGACCAATTTGGCAATTTTCAAACCCCCAGAGCTTCACAAAAAATAATCGGCGGTAAAATTTCTTTTTGAATTTGAACTCAGGAAGTCGATATCTTCAATAGAGTATACAAAAAAAAAATTGTTGAAAACTATTATTTTGATCGTCGAAAATTGACTGAATAAAAAAACCAAACCGAGCATAAATATTCCGTTTCCTTCGAAAGTCGGAACAAAAAACCACTTTGAACTTTAAATGGCGTTGGGGGGAGTGATTTGAAAAATCTAAAATTAGAACTTTTTGATGAAGAAAACTACTAAAATTAACGTGAAAGCATTCAGGGTGTCGCCATGAAGCAATCAGTTTAGTTTTAACGAGCAATTCTGGCAACGAATGAATTTGAAAAAAAAAATTAACTAGGTGTAGTACTGTATACCTATGGCTTTATCAACAGTGCTTACAAATTAACAGATATAGTCGATTAACACGACTGATCCGATTAGCTAGCCGCAATTCAATTAGGAACAATTTTGTTGTGCGTGATAATTCGCCACGCATAAATAATTCGCATTACCATCCCAGAAACTTGAATAAATTCATCAAAGCGCGCATAATTTAGTCTAAAACATGGCCAATTTGGCAATTTTCAAACCCCCAGAGCTTCACAAAAAAAAATCGGCGGTAAAATTTCTTTTTGAATTTGAACTCAGGAAGTCGATATCTTCAATAGAGTATTCAAAAAAAATTGTTGAAAACTATTATTTTGATCGTCGAAAATTGACTAAATAAAAAAACCAAACCGAGCATAAATATTCCGTTTCCTTGGAACAAAAAACCACTTTGAACTTTAAATGGCGTTGGGGGGAGTGATTTGAAAAATCTAAAATTAGAACTTTTTGATGAAGAAAACTACTAAAATTAACGTGAAAGCATTCAGGGTGTCGCCATGAAGCAATCAGTTTAGTTTTAACGAGCAATTCTGGCAACGAATGAATTTGAAAAAAAATTAACTAGGTGTAGTACTGTATACCTATGGCTTTATCAACAGTGCTTACAAATTAACAGATATAGTCGATAACTTATGGAGAAAAATGATTAACGTATCAAATGACAAGTTGTCTAAAAACAATTGAAAGCCAATTTTGAAAGCTAGCCGTCAGAAAACGAGACCGAAACCCTCAGACAAAATACTTCTTTGAAAAAACGTCTCCTGAACTACCAAGCAGTAACTAAGCCGACAGTACTTGGGTAGACGCTTAGATGCTCGTTGCCACAAAAAACTGTTGTAACATAATAATTGAGCGAAAACAAATATAAATTCAAGATATTAAGTTCAAAAGCACACACAAAAAACCTACTTTCACCTTTATAAAACAAATGAGCAAATCTAGCTGAAATCGAGACCATTTCACCCAAAAAAAAACACATTTTAGTTGAAACACGAAAATAAAAATATTTAAAAAGCAAACGATACAAAAGTAAAGCTGTAAACTTCCAAATTACAGGGATAAATCAAAATCAATCGTAGCAAGAAAATTATTAACCCAAAAGAAATTCGCAAATATAGTTTAAAAAATGAGCAGAGAAAAGATAATCCGACAGAAAAAATTCCGAAATTTTTAGCTCCTAGCTGGAATCGAACTCAAGAACTTTTGTCCCAAGCCTGGACGTTACGTTTACGCTAAACAGGTAAAAAGAGTAGCTGTAACTTAATACACTAAAAAGTACGCCGAGGAAATCGAGCAGAAGAGTTCGCGGACAACGTTTTAATTGCAGCGTGTCTACAACCCGTTGCAATACCCTTGCTAATCGCAAGGACAATTAAATCAAATAAAGAACAATTGGATACCCTTTTCAAACAAACGGATTCCGGAAAATGTTGGAATTGAGTAACCAGCTGTAAAAAAGAAAAAGCAGACTTAATAAAAAAGACATATACGAGAAATCCGTGATCTGGTAACTTAGCCGACAAACAGCAAGCAGAAACACTATTATCCAAAAATAAGTGTTTTTTAGAGCTGAAAATTTCTAGTTTGATAGAATTACTAGTCCTGGCTGGGCTCGAATCAGGGATTTTTGGCGTCCACTTCATGAGCTTAACTCTACGCTGGGCATAATGAATTGAATAAGTTTGCTTCGGTAATTAAAGCTATCAAATGATTCAACGAGTAGACAAGACTATTACAGGAAGAAAAGCAGAGGCGCCGATTTAATAACGCTTGGATACTACAACCCTAATACGCAAGAAAAAAAAACGTCATAAATGAGCTCGTAAAGCCAAAGAACATGCAATAAATCCGCTGGCGGACTAAATCCCCCAGGATAAAAACGCCCGGATAAAAACCCACCAGATCTAATCCTCTATACTTTTTCAAGCAAGAATAAAAACTCCGTGAGAAAATTCGCGCCTTCTGTGAAGTAACTAAGACATTTTAGCTTGCGATCGAAATCTTTAACTTTCGCGGTAAAAAGGTGTTTGTTTCTTGGAACGTCCGTCGTCATCTTGAAATTTTAATGTGATTTCATAGATTGGAAAACCATCATTTCGCTCATTTCCATTTAACAATAACTACTTAACTACCTTGATCAGAAGACGATTCGTGATACTCTTCGTGTATTATGTCTTCAGTATCACTGACTTCGTCATCTTCTTCATTTCCTACCTCTTCGTTGTCATCGTCATCCTCATCACCAGTGTCACCTGTATTGAGTTCTGACCTCATGTCTAATGATGAAAACTGTTAGCCGTGTAGGAAAAAAACAATACACAAGTCTAAACCTGAAACAAGGCATAACATAAAAATCCCACTATGCATGTATTATTTTTCAAAATAAAACTTCATTTCAATAAAATGCTTTTTTGAATAGAGAACTTTTGTTTGAATAGGGAAAACAAAAATTCAAGGAGGGAGAGAGGTTGCCGAGTAGATCAAAAATTTTTATAAAATCTGTGTAGGATAAAATTGAACGATTGTTTCATTTAATTTTTGCAGCTAAAATATTTAAATTTTATTTAGCCAAATAAAAATAAAAAAATTAAACCAAATCAGAATATTGTCCGAGATACAAATGCCTGATAATCAGGACACACGACAATTTACACCAAAAAAGTCAACCACTTGAAATTCCTTTTCTTCAATCACCTTCAGTCAGTCTAGAAACACTTAATTTAAAAAGTTATCAAGACAGCATAAATTGAGATTTAAAAAATATTATCAGATAAGGGCAAAATAAAATCAATTAAAAGTTTCAAAAACCTATAGATTTAAGCACCAGCTAAAGTACAACCTGGTGATAACAAAGGAAAGAGTACGGATCTAGGATTTTCTCGAGGGGGGGCGGATTTTCAAAAATTTTGTCGACCTTTTTTTTAGGTCGACCGAATTGATTTTTCGATCTCTCCCTACGCACAGTTTATTCCCTGTTTTAGCCCAAACTTCTGCGCCGCAGGCAAAATTTTGAAAAAAACAGTCAAAAAAGCCGTTTTTGGGCACTTTTTGAAAAATGTTGACAAAAAATCGCGTTTTTTTTGGCGCGCGCTCCCCCTCAAAATTAGTATATATTGGCGCCGCGGGCGCCTTTAGAAAAACTTTAGGGTCGGTCGGCCAAAAATGGATTTCTTAAAAAGTAGCAAAGGGGGACCCTTTGGGTCGGCAAGGGGTCGAATCCCTGAGGGGGGGTTTAGTCGGCCCCCCGCCCCCGCCCCCTAAATCCGCCCCTGAAAGAGTAGAATTTTCATTATTGATTTTCTTATTTCTTATCTCTTCATATTTTTTTTCTCAAAAATTGATTGAGAAATTATTCCCTCAATGATTGAGACTTATGTTTTACCGGTTATATGACAAAAGATCCCTTACCTTAAGATCCCAAACGAGAAGATCCCAGTCAATAAGATACCATTCCAAAAGATCCCTCGTTCTAAAATCGCCCACGACATAAGATACCATAATAAAATAACGAAGAACCTGAGAATTGAAATTAAAGCGGTTAATCTAAGCAAAAACAAAGCATCGGTTAAAATCAAAGAAACAGAAAACTTTTTGCTGCACAAATTCCGAACATAAATGACCTTGCTAATCGCTTGGCCTTCAAAATGAAACTCAAACTTCAAAACAGCTTAGACTACAATTGAACTTGAAAAGGATTTCCAATTAATCAAAGCCAACTATGCCAAAAATGGCCTGATTTTCAAGACAGCTCAAGTCGGTACAAAACTGAAATCATTTTCATTACATATCACTTGCCATTCTATTTGATAAAAAACATCAATTCTCAATTTTGAGCAACTTTTTTTCGCTAGGCGCAATACTCAAAGGGCAGTCAGGCCCCTACCCCCAACCTAGTGTCCCGTAAATAAGAGCAATTGCTCTGGGATCAAATTGCTAGAGACAGCATTTTCGAATGCAAGTCGTAGTATTGCGTTTTGGCGTTCTCTAAAAAAGTTGATCATCTTCTAATTTTTCGAGATCGTTTTGCGAAATATCCAGTTTGGTTGCCACACTGTATATTTCCTCAATTACTAGGTCAAACCCGATTTCCACTGAGAGAGCAAAGACAGTTGGATTGCTTTGTCGTCCTGCACCAATTGCAAACTAGCTGCGATTATCTGGCTGTTTACTGGATTTAATTGATTCCTAGTTGTCTCCTTTATTTGCTGAACTAGTTGCCGAGCTTCTGAGCTGCCTGCGTTGAGCTCATGACTATGCTCGTTGCTCTGTGAAATTATATCGCTCCCAAAAGTGATTTAAGTTTTCGGGCATTTATACGATCTCCATTTGCTGCAGCGCCAGCATGTAGTTGTCTTCGTATCGCGTTTCTTTTGAAATTCATGGCCGTCAAGAATAACAAGTGTTTGGCGTTTTTTGTGAGGTTCCCCAAGTAAAAGAATTCATTTTTGACTATTCAATGAGCTAAAGAGGGAGATAATGAATGCAGAGTGTATACATTTTCAATTGAGTTGTTCTAATTCAATACCATATTAAACACATGTTGGCACTATGTTAATCCCAAAAATGAGTCCAGTTTAAATTTAGTTATCTTAAACTTGCATTGTTTTTTAATAGCGCGAACCTAATTGAGATATCATTACTCTAGATTTACTTCTGCTTACACTTTGATCATGATTTTTGTTCATAATTCATGGGGTCCTTTTAATTGGCATGGGATTTTATGGTATGGGCGATTTTTGTACAAGGGATCTTTTGGTATGGTGTCTTTTACCGTGGGAGCTTTCGGTATGGTATCTTTTGTCCTGACACCGTTTTACCAATTGGAAAATAACAGACATCAAAATAAAATTCAGTCAAAATCAGCTAACTGCGTGGAAGTTTCAATGAAAAAATATACTATTACATAACTAAAACTTGTTTTGAAAAGGAAATCAAAAATAAGTTTTGTTCCAGAATGTTTTAAATATTATGTGGTTATTCAATTAAAAATAAAGAAATAGCCTTATTGTTGTCATAAACTTATCAAATAGATGAAAAAATTTTGACGATCTCTTTTACCCCCGTCAAAATGATTCAAAGATCCAGTTATTTCTTGATTTGTATTATTGAAAAACCAAACACAGAAACATAGAAAAGAAGACAACAAAGTACGACATTTTCATTGTTTGTAAACGAGCAGCACACAAGCTTAACTTTCTTTTCAGCTCTGATCGCAATAATCAACTGGTTCTGGTGTGGTGAGCTGTGATCAGAGAGGTGGACTGGGTCATAATTGTCAATACCTTCACCAAAGTAACCAGACTGTGAACTGCTTAACTGTAGTAAAAGCCTATAAAAAGAAAAACGAAAACGAACTGTTGGAATTAAAATGGACGAAAAAAAACCGAAAAATTTTTTTCAGAGAAATAAAATTGCCTCATTAAGCAAGTATATCTCACAGGATTATACACACAGGCAAAGCTGCAATTTCCAAACACAAGCGAAAAAACGACCAATATCTCAAGAAGAGAAATAGGAAAAGGTAAGAAACAAACCTTGAATAAAAAAACGTTTGCTAAGTGTCCGATTCGAACCTACAGTTTCGGGATTAGATTAACACTAGCCACCAATAAAGAAGCAGATAAATGCCAATGACATGCAGCAAAAAAACACCAAATATAATAGAAACTAGTGCTAAGTGCGGGATTGAACCACTGACTAGTAGACAAGGAGTCTCTTGTCAACAAAAAAGCAGAGAATAGATGCTCTGAAATTTCCAATGCTGCAGTGGTTATTGCAAAAAGGCCACCAAACTTCTACTTGCGATTTTGCTTGGCAAAATATTACATTCTTACTATTACACTACGCTTGCTAGCTGGCTTGTGTAAAACACATTATGAACTCAGCAAATCTGACCTACCAATCCCGAGAAAACTATGACCTCTAAATTAGGGTCTCAGATTAAAGTCAAAAATATTGCGGCCGCCAAAAACGAAGTACACGAATGTATATCTATACAAGTAGATTGGACTCAAGTGTCGACTCAAAGGCTGTTGTTTCTTCTTTCTGTGAACAAAATGGTGCCCCTGTGGAACACAGACGAGAAACATGAGATTCTGCTCTTCGAATTTTCCAATTGGTCTTCGCCAGCAAATATAGTTATGTCATTGACGAACTATCTTGCTGACCAGAAGATACTGCTACTAACAATTTATACTTCAGCAAACAGCTACTGACTAGCTGAAATGGCTAAAAGACGAAATCTGACCAAACCATGAAGCTGCAATCAAATCAGGCTTGCTTAATGTACGATCTATTTTTAGAAATAATTAAGAAATATCGCATCTCAACTTCACATAAAATATTACCCTCGAGTGAAACTCACGCACTATGAAAACGCATAGTAATTTCAAGAACAAAATCAGGCTAATTAAATCACGTGTAAGCGAACGTACATAATGATTACTTAAAAAACTAGAAAAAAAAATTAGACGCAATCTACGTTTTGAATGCCACCATCAAACAAAACTAAAATCGGATCGGGAATATTAATAAGAGAAAAATTTATTCGGTTTTTTTGAGGGTATCCTAGCAATTTACGATATTCGAGACCGAATAAAAAGCGGCATTATATTATACTCTAATTGTGCCACAGAGCTATAGTCAGAGAAAAACAAAGTCCCAAGAAGTACTATCAGAAAACGATGACTCAAATGACATACAAGCCATTTCTCCAGCTAAAAAGTTGTACGCCCGTGCTAGTAGGGCGGGGTGCTAGTTTTCTTAAGTTATCCCACGTGTGCCACCTTCCTATTATGTAATTTTTTATTTAAACGCTTTGAGAAATGAAAAATGTGATTTGAAATTGTGTACACCTAGAAAAAAGAATTACCTATTGATCCAATTTACAATAAATTTTAAAAAAAAACATGAAACCGAAAGAATAGTCCACAGACAATAATAATTTCCACAGACTCGGTCGTTTCACATACAATTTTTGAGTCGGCTAACCATGACCAATTTAAAAAAAAAAGCTCTCCGCGGAAGCAACACCGATTAAAATGAGCCAAAAAACAGATAGTCTTAGAAATTAATTCCCTCTGTGCGCTGAAAAACTACTGTGATTCAAGCAAAATGCAACGAAAGATCTAAATGGGTGAGAAACTTTTTGAGCCTTTCGAAGTCCGTAACGAGTGAACTAAGCGGACAAAAATAGTCTAACAATATGCAGAAAATATCACGCTGGAAAAAAATCAAGCCCTCGCCCGGTCTCGAATCGATTGGCGTTACCTTTGCTCCGAATTGGCAGAAACATTCATTCATTTAAATTTACCATATAGAAAATAATTCAGCAAATAGTCTGAATAAATTCGAATAGGGAAAAATTTCTAGTAACCGGTTGAAAAACCCTTGTTTATTGCAGGTATAATTTCTTTAACTAAGCCCTGGGTTCATAGGACATAAAAAGATATGCTTAAAGCAGTTTCTGAAGTAAGCCAAAAACGCAACTTTTTATCCCCTTCGTCATCCTCACAGATTTTTCTGTAAATTCAGACACTTGTTTTTGTTCCCCAAGTTCTGGCTATGAAAATAGGTCAGCTAACTATATCTCATAAGATATCATTTTCTGCTAGATAACTGCAAAAAGCTTTGATATCATTTGTTTTTCGAGTTTTGAGACAGAAGCGGGCACTTCGCAAACACAAGCGAGAAAAAGGCAAAAGCAGCTCTACCAAGGTGAAAAAAGTGAAAGAAAAGCTATAAACAACCCTTGAAAGATGAATTTTTCACTAAGTGACGAAATTAAACCACCGAAATGGAGATTAGAAGACTCACATCTTCTCATCTGCGCCATTGTCGCTTGATAACAGAAGCAACTTAAGAATTAGAGATAGAACAGATGCTATTAAATTGCCAATGCTACGCAAAAAAGCGCCACCAAATGATCCTTTTAATTAGCAAGCTGAGTAAAACTGGACCTGCAATGATCAAACTGCGCCCGCTAGCTAGCTTGTGCAAGCAATAAGTTTTACAATTTTTAATTCAGTTAACTAGCGTTTAACGCACCACCGGTGCTTCGAATTTTCAACAATTCAAAAAACTATTCTTTGAGTGTACTCTGACAGCACCTAATAACAGGGTTCGTAATTACAACTTTTGCAAAGTTTTTTTACTCAAGTTTTTTATACAAATTTTGAAGAACCATACGATTTTGTGAACCTTTATAAGTTCTTCAAAAATGATTTGGGCATTCTTAAATGGAGTCGAATTTTGCGACCCCTGAGATTACTATAACAGCCCCCAACTACAGGTTAGGAAACTCAAATGAACTAAGAAACTTAGAAAAAAAAATTTATTTTCACAAAAAATGTTTTTGAAAAAATCACAAAAAACGTCATATCTAGAAAACTACAAGGATTTGAGCAGTCAAATTGTGAGGCAAAACTCGCAACTCCTGAGAGTACCCTGACAGAGCCTCACTACAGAGATGAAAATTTCAAGTTTTGTGAAATTCTTCATACTTAATTTTCTCAAAAATTTTGAAAAAACTTAAAAAAACGTCATATCTCGAAAGCTTCAAGAATTTGGGCACCCAGATTCGGAGGAAAGTTTCGCAACTCCTGAGAGTATCCTCACAGACTCTAAAACAAGATTCAGATCTTCAAACTTTTGGAATTTTTTAACATTTATTTTTTTTGAAAATTTCGGAAAAAATCATAAGAAACGTCATATCTCGAAAACTACAAAGATTTGAGCAGTTATATTTAGGGGCAAAATTCACAACTCCTGAGAGTACTCTGGCAGAGCCTCACTACAGAGATGGTAATTTCAAGTTTTATGAAATTTTTTATATCTGAAAAAAGTTTTCTGAAAAAATTTGAAATAACACATAAAAAGTCATATCTGGAAAACTACAAGGATTTGATCAGCCATAATCAGAGGCAAGGTTCGCAACACTTGAGAGTACCCTCACAAAATTCATGAACAGGATTGAGATCTTCAACGTTTTGGAAATTTTCAAAATCTAAGTATTTGAGAAGTGAGAATTGGAGACGAGATTCGCAATACCTGAGACCCTGACAGCACCCAACTACAGGGTAAGAATTTCAAAAATTGAGAAATTTTCTAAATTAAATTTTCTAGAAATTTCTGAAAAATCTCGAAAATTGCCTATCTCGTAAACTAAAACGATTTGGTTATTCATATATGGAGGCCAGAATCGCAATACCTGAGAAAACTCTGGCAATATCCTACTAATGGGTTGCTAATTTCAAACTTGATGAAATGATCACTGAATTTAAACTGGAAAATCGAAAAAACCTTAACTATTGCAATATACGATATAGCTTAAACGTGAAAAAATTCAGTTGTTAAACATGCAAAATAATACATTGAAAAAGCTCAAACACGGCGAGATAGTGAAGCCCGCATGTAAATGTATAATAGATAATAGATGAAAGTTAAAGAATTAGGCGACGGGTAGACAGACATGATCAAATTAATTAAAAAAGCAGGTACACAGACAGACAGACTGGCTTAATTTGGCCTTGAAAAAAAATACTGAGAAATTAATGACCTAGCGCAAAACTAATTGAAAAATTTTCGAAAGCATTGCAATATATGATATAGCTTAAACATGATAAAATTCTTTCGTTACACATGCAAAGTTATTATGCTTAAACATAGGAGACAGCTGTCACTCGCATTTAAATATAGTATAGAGGCCTTGAAAAAAAATACTGAGAAATTAATGACCTTGCGGAAAACTAATTGAAAACTTTTCTAAAGCATTGCAATATATGATATAGCTTAAACATGAAAAAATTCTTTCGTTAAACATGCAAAATTATTATGCTTAAACATAGGAGATAGCTGTCACTCGCATTTAAATACAGTATAGATTATGTGTATGCTCTGAGCTCACAACAGAAAAGATATTCTACTTGTGACAATTTTTTTGTAAAATAAGGGCGGTTTGCAAACTACCTAACTGTTTCACTCAAATTTGCAACATTCTGATACCGCGTGGCATAGGCTGCCATATACTCCAACTCAGAAATCATTCCAAATTAAATTGAGGCTAGCCAATTGATCCAAGCAATGCTTCAAAAACAATGTTGTTGACCTATTTTTAGGTCGACCAAATTGATTTTCCGAGCTTTCCCAAAGCACTAAAAAGACCCTGTTTTGGCCAAATGTTCATCGCCGCAGGCAAAATTTTGAAAAACAGGCCAAAAAGGCGTTTTAAGGCACTTTTTGGAAAATTTTGACTAAAAATCGCGCTTTTTCGGCGCTCGCTCCCCCTTAAAATTAGAATATATTGGTGCCGAAGGCACATTTAAAAAATTTAAAACTTTTAAATTGCGTCAAGCAAAACCAAATAAACCAAAAGACGAGCAGCCTCGTTGTTATGCCTTGTCAAGAAAATGACGGATTATTTAAGCTGGCGGTGACTTTTTAACTAGCCATTCTTGAGTAAAGGCAAGCTTTTTGCTCTCATTAATAAGTTAACAGACGCTGAATACCGCATTTTGCACTTAACATAACGCGTGGAGGGAAGATTTTCAAAAACAATTATTTGAATCTTTTTGAATTTATTTAATTTCTATAACTATTTCACAGACGATCAGGGGCTATTTGATTTAGGGGGGGGGGGGGGGGTGACGCCCCCCCTTCAGGGATTCGACCCCCTGCCGACCCAAAGGGTCCCTCCTTTGAACTGTTTTGAGACAACTATTTTTGGCTGACGGACCCAAGAATTTTTCTACAGGCGCCTTTGGTGCCAATATACACTAATTTTAAGGGCGGATTGCGCGCCGAAAAACGCAATTTTTTTGGTCACGAATTTCCAAAACGTGCCTAAAAACGCCTTTTTGGCCTTTTTTCAAAATTTTGAAAATCCACCCCCTCCGAGAAAATCCTAGATCCGCCCCTGCAGGCGCTAAAGGGCATTCGGAACATTCAAGTCTTAGTCCCGATAGGAGAAAATTTGTTCTTATATATTCGGGCTTCTATTTCGCAGAGCGACGGATGGGGCTGTAACAGGAAAGGCAGCAGTATATTAAGCAAAGTGTTTAAACTCAAACTATCCCACATATCCCACAAGGAAACAAAACTTGCTATGCGTAAAAAATGACCATCTATAGTCATTGCGTGTTAAGCTCATTATGTGTTGAATAAGAACGCCTGTCTTTGGGAAAACTAACCAACACTCCCACGTAAATGTACTGTCGAGGTAGTTAGTTATACCATTAACAAAGGCTTATTTCATAGGAGAGAGAAGGAACAAAGTTTCAGTATACTATTTCGGAGTTCGTAACATACTCTTTCAACGCATTGAATGCGTTGGAGTTAACTAACCATTTCCGAGGGTCTAGCAAACATTGCCAATACGTGCGCTACTTTTAAAATACCAAAGTCTAACAGTAAAAGGAAAGGATTTGTTTCAATTATGAACGCGAATCACAAACGACTGAGTGCAGTTTTGGTAAGTAGAAATCTTATTTAGGGAAAACCTGTCAATTTATCAGATATTTCGAAGTTCAGTCGGTTATATTTTGTAAAATGGACAACAAGTGTAACTATGGAACGGGTTTTGAAAGATATAAGATACGAAATAATAATTAATTTTATTCAGTTTTTGTTTCACATCAAAAAGATCTTCGAAATATCAATCAACACCGAGGAAAAGTGGAGCTTTGCACCACTTGTGATGCATCGGAAGCTAGCAAACAGAAATTGACACGAAAGCCATTCAGTCAACAAACTTCCAAACATCGATCTACCAAAATTTTGAAATATCTATTTCGAATGAAGTACAGGATAATGTATCACGCGGATACATCAGGCTGATCCAGTATCACGCGGATACAGGATAGCAAAAGACAATTACAAGCGCCAAATTAGCACTGAAAAATTCTAAAGCGCTAACCATGTCGAAAATACTTGTGCAGACGCGTCGAAAAAAATGAGCTATAAAACATTTGAGTCCCCTCGCAGCACACAAAACACTTAAGAAAAATTTACGCTTTTCAAATGAGGCGACTTAACAATATGAGGCGACTTAACCGATACAACGAATGCCGAAACCTTCTAAGGCGAATTAAGTATTAACGCGAAACAAAAATAATCGGAGTTCGTAAACTTACAGCCAACATAAAAAAAATTCGAATAGAACAGGTGGTATTTCGAAGGCAAACATGGTCAAAATATGATATATTGCATGACTAAAACAGAGTTGATCAATGAATTGACATAATGGTTGTTAACCCGGAAAAAAAAGAAAGTATGTTCAAGGAAAGCCTTCAGCAATATTTCAAAATTTCAGATCATTTTCACCATTCTGACACCGCAACTGGAATCCAAAGATGCGGCCACTGCCACTGCCAGACTCAGAGACATCTTCAAACTGGACTCCCAACTAGCCAGTCAGTTGGACACGTTCTCCCTTCAGCTAGCCGACCTTCAGAAGCAAATTGACCAAGTAAGAAACGACGGACAACTAAAACCACTCTCACAGATTTTGGAAATCGACGACGAAAACTCTGAGGAAAACTTCAAACACCCGACAGATCAGGTAGTGATAATCAAACGATTCAACGACAAATGGAAATCAATAAGAGCTGCTCTGGATTTCAAGAAAGTGGCAGAATCGCTGCATTATCTGGACGATGAGTTTTCAACTCGCAGAGAAGACATGCATGAAGCGATGGCAGGGATAATACGTTTGGGGGAGACATACCACATCCCAGCGAGAAACTTCTCAGAAGGAGTAATCAAGCAATTTCATTCGAGACTCAAGTTCGATCAGCCACAAGATTTATTCGAAATGGGTGAGTCAATTTTTTATCACTCAACACAGGTCCGTACTGGATATTCGGTCATTGTTCAGGAACCAAAAGAAACTATTTTGCCGTTTTTGATCATTTTTGTAGATTTAGCAGGCGCCTTTAGACTAAATTTAGGTTCGTTTGTTTGACCTAGAAAGAACACCGTAAAAAATTAGGGAATAGCTGGTACGGATGAGTTGTGAGGCGTGCAAGCTCCCTAAAACCGCTAATGATCTTAACTCTTCCGCTAAGTCGCAAAACTAATGAACATCGATACCCAAATGGCAACATCATCAGTTGAAGTTAGAATAAAAGACTAACACCTAAATAGCAATGATACAGGCATCAATCTTATCTGACAGGCTCCGATACTAAGATAGAGCATTTCTGCAGTGCGCGTGACCTTACAATGATTTCGATAAAAAACAAACATTTATTTCCAAAAACTAGCCCTATTTTAGAGTTTAGAATTTTCAACAACTCAATAAAAAAACTATTGTTTGAGTGTACTCTGACAGCACCCAATTACAGGGTTCGTAATAAAAAATTTTGCAAAGTATTTTATTCAAGTTTTTTCTACAAACTTTGAAGAACCATAACATTTTGTAAAGTTTTATATAAGTTCTTCGAAAAACTTAAAATGAACTGAGAAACGTCACAACTGCGAAACTGAAATCAATTGAACAGTCGCATTTGTACGCAAGATTTGCAACTCCTGAGAGTAACTTCAAATTTTGTAATGTTTTTCATTCGTTTTCTTAATTCAAATTTTGAAAATCATAAAAATTTGTGACATTTTTTTTATAACTAAGTTTATAATAAATTAAGAAACGTCACATCCGGGAAACTGAAAGCAATTGAGCAGTAGCATTTGGACGCAAGATTTGCAACTTCTGACAGTACCGAACTACAACGCTGGGAGATTCAAATTTTAAGAAAACTCACCTTAAATTTTCTAAAGGTTTTTTTTGAAAACCAGAAAAAAACTCACATCTCGAAAACTGCCAAAATTTGAGCAGTCTTTTGTAATGGCAATTTTCGCAATCTTTGAAAATCCACAACTGCAGGGTTGGTAATTTCACTTTAACGAACTATTTTGTAAATTGAGCTTTCTGAAAAAAAAATTTCCAAAAAAAATCTCAAAAATCGTCGTATCTCTTAAACAAAAACGATTTGGGCATTCTTAATTGGAGGCCGAATTTGCAACCCCTGAGATTACTCTGACAGCCCCCCAACTACAGGTTAGGAAATAAAAACTTTAAAAAAAATAATTTGATTTTCATGAAATTTTTTTGAAAAAATCACAAAAAACGTCATATTTGGAAAACAAAGGTTTTGAGCAGTCCTATTGGGAGGAAAAATTCGGAACTCCTGAGAGTACCATGAAATAGCCTCACTACAGAGATGATAATTTCAAGTTTGAATTTTTTTATACTTAAGTTTTCTGAAAAATTTTGAAAAAATCCTAAAAAACGTCATATCTCGAAAACTACAAGAATTTGAGCAGCCATATTCAGAGGCAAGATTCGCAACCCCCTGAGCGTACCCTCACAGATTCCAATAACAGGATGGATATCTTCAAATTTTGGAACTTTTTAATATCTAAGTTTTTTTTGAAAATTTCGGAGAAAATCATAAAAAACGTCATATCTCAAAAACTACAAGGATTTGAGTAGTGAGATTTGGAGGCAAGATTCGCAACCCCTGAGAGTACCCTCACAACACCCATAACAGGGTGAAATTTTCAAAAATTGAGAAATTTTTCAAAATTAAATTTTCCAGAAATTACTTGATGAAATAAATAAACACTGAATTTAAACTGGAAAATCGAAAATAAAACCTTGACCATTGCAATATACGATATAGCTTAAACGTGAAAAAATTCTTTTGTTTAACATGCAAAAATAATACGTTGAAAAAGCTTAAACATGGCGAGATAGTGAAGCCCGCATTTAAATTTATAATAGATTAGATAGATAGGTAATAGATGAAAGTTAAAAAATTAGGCGACGGGTAGACAGACATAATCAAATTAATTTAAAAAGCAGGTATACAGACAGACAGCCTTAATTTGGCTTCAAAAAAAATACTGAAAAATTAATGACCTTGCGAAAAACTAATTGAAAAGTTTTCTTAAGCATTGCAATATTTGATATAGCTTTAACATGAAAAAATTATATCGTTAAACATGCAAAAATATTACGCTTAAACATGGGAGATAGCTGTCACTCGCATTTAAATATAGTATAGATAGATAGATATAGATTAAATATAGTATAGATAGATATAGATATAGATTTGTTAAGCGCTGCATGTAAAACGCTCGATTCTGATTGGCTGAAAATTCCCAACTTCGAACCAAGTTAACATCCTCCCCCCTAAACGTGTTTAGGGGGAGGATGTTAACTTGGTCCAATGTTTTTATAAAATACCTTTTTAGGCGTTGCCGCATTCGACCTGAAGAAGTATAAATTCTGTGCAGATTACTTCAAACTGTTAGAGACGAAACTGGAGTCGAACAAAAATGCAGTCTACGAAACGAACATCTGCCATGAAGTCAAGTGTGAACATCCGAAACATGGGGAGCTTCTAGCAGCTGCATACGACTATCACCACTTCTGTGAATACGCAATGGGAAATTACGCAGAAGCTGTTCATTTAGCCGAAAAAGCATTGAATCTAATGGGCCACGATGAGAGACTGGAGAGGAACATTGAGTTAATTTCGGGATACCTTCAACACGAGAAATCGGATGAATTGAAATCAAACGAGACTCAACTGCCACCTGAAACAGAGTTATGTCGAATGGGAGCTTTTCCTACTTCCAATTTCAGCAAAAAGCTGAAGCCCAAAACGGGTGGTTTCAAAATATGGTCAAAATGTAGCTTCTCCACAAATCAAAACCCGTCATTGATGATTCGTCCCGTGAAAACTGAAGTGCTTCTGGAGAAACCCTACATCGAATTCTGGCACCAATTTCTCACGGACAACGAAGTGGAGAAACTCAAAGATTTGGGACTACCTGAGCTGGCAAGGTCAACTGTCGCTGGTGATAAAGAGTTCGTTCACGCTGAGTACCGAGTGAGCCAATCGAGTTGGTTCCCAGACTCATTGAATGCTGTGGTAGCAACAATATCCCGGCGGATACGAGATATGACCAATTTCACAATGGAGACCGCAGAAGCTCTGCAGGTTAATGTCTAATCTACAGATTTAAGGGGATTTAGGAGAATACTCCTAAAAAGTTTCGATTAGTCGAAAGTTCTATTTGTTCACGACATAAAAGTTCCGCTATTTTACTACCTCAATTTTTGGCTGACTGAACTATAATTTTTTTTTAAAAATAATTAATAGTTTTAGTTCTTCAATAAAAATTTACACATAAGTTCATAACTTCAGATAGCAAACTATGGAGTCGGGGGTCAGTACGAGTCTCATTACGACTTCGCTGTGGAATCGGACGAAGAGGGAATCCCGGAAGCATTCTTTGTCGACGGCAACCGAGTGGCCACAGTCCTCATGTACCTCTCTGACGTCGAACTAGGCGGAACGACCGCTTTTGTCGACATCGGATTAAATGTCACGCCTGAAAAGGGCGGAGCCGTGTTCTGGTATAACTTAGAAAGAGATGGATCTGGAATTATGGAAACCAGACACGCTGCCTGCCCAGTGCTAATTGGAGTTAAATGGGTCGCAAATAAATGGATTCGTTACAATGGCCAACAATTCGTGTATCATTGCCCAGCTTAGAAAAAAAAATTATTTAGAAAATTGATCACTGTTGCAATCACCCCTCGTGCTAGAAAGTAGTGTGGCGTAACGTAACCCCTTGAAGTATTGTTTTAAAATTCATTTCAACCGTGATATTGTTCGGAACATTCAGTGCTACTTGCACAGCAACCCGCCGTCCCTGATTTGTATATAAATTTAAGTTCAAAAAGTTAAAGCTGTTTTTAGTGAGCACAGCAATAAGAGCGATAAATATAATACAAGACTGCTCGTATCAGGGCGAAGCCCTGAATGTTCCGACTGCCTTTTAAGGTTTATGGAGCAGCAGTAATACCCGGGTCGAGATCCCGCTCAAAAACCGCTCAAGATTTGAGCGGTTTGAGCGGTTTTCCAGCAAGATTTGAGCGGTTTGGGCGGTTTTTTTTGGAAAAACCGCTCAAATCTTGCTTAAAAAACCGCTCAAAAACCGCTCATTTCTTGCGGTGATTTTTGAACGGTTTTTCAAGCAAGATTTGAGCGGTTTTTGAGCGGTCTTCCCGGGTCGAGGTCCCAGACTCCCCCCCGCCCCAACTTACCCCCCCCCCCCCCCGCCAACGTACTCCCCCCCCCCCCAACGTACCCCCTCAACGTATCCCACATCCAACAAACCCCCCCACCAACGTAACCCCCCCCTCAACGTACATCTAACTCTAGTAAGGGACATCAATGGTGTGCGATCATATAATCGATTATTTTTGTTATTTTGTAGAGACTAACAATAAAAATCCTGACAGTATATTTGTTGTATATGTCTAAAACATTGAACATATTCAGTAGAACAAATACAGCGAATATTAAGCTTCCAGCAAGTCAGCATAGACTAAGGGATAAGGCGTCTGACTTGGAATCAGAAGATTGCGGGTTCGAATCCCTCCGTGGTCGACTTTTTATTATTAAATCTTGAACGGTTTTTTTAGATAAACCGCTCAAAACCGTTCAAATCTTGCGCGGTTTTTGAGCGGTTTTTTTAGATAAACCGTTCAAAAACCGCTCATTTTGAAGCAAGATTTTGAGCGTAATTGTCTAAAAAAAACCGCTCAAATCTTGCTTCAAATTAGGTGAAAAATCTCGACACGGGTAACATAAAAAATTAAATGAAATAAAAAAAAATGAATTTTTTTTTTAAATTTGAAATTTTTCAGGAAAATCATCCCCCCACACGCCATATAAAGTACAAAAATATAGATTTCGTTCCTTGTAACAAATCAATTATGGCAAATATGCTTCGTTCAACCAATTTGGAACGATTTATAACACGGATTAAATCTCCGCTTTCGCGGTATTAGCGTGAATTATATCGCGCGTTAATTGTCCCAAATTGGTCAAAATGGCAATCTTTAAACCCTCATAACTTTACGCAAAATGATCACAGCTGAAATATCTTTTCAAATTTAAGCTCAGGACAACAATGGCTTTCGAATGATATAAAAAAACTTCGTCAAAAATGGCTAGTTAAAAAGTCTAAATTTGTCTGAAGAAAAAAAAAACCCACCCCGAGCACAAATATTCCGTTACTTTCGTATCGAAAGTCGGAACAATAATACAAGAAATCACCAAAAAAGCATGAAAAACTGAACTTCGACAATAGACGATTCAAAAAACTTTTTAATTCGATCCAAGGAGCTCCAAATGAAGAAACTCATGGCCCCAGGTAAAAGCAACATTCAATGCGCTGTAATTGTGCCGATACAGCTGTAATTGTGCCGATACACAGAAACTCAGTACTTTACTTTACTTGCTCAGTACTTATATGCCATACAAAAGTCAGCTTGAGTAATAACGTGGAAATAATTTCGTACAAAAATTGTTCAATAAAATAGGCAATAAAATATTTCAAAATTTAACAAGCTGATAGTTTACAAATACAACTGCTGCTTGTGTGAATTAGACACCAAGACGAGATTTTAACGCATGATTTCAAAAAAGAAACATGAAACAAGTTATATAATAATAAGCAAGACTTTTTTTAAAAAAAATAATGGCTGTTTGGTTGAATTCGGTTTCGAACTATACCAAATCAAACTACTGCAAAACAACCAATTTTCCAGTACAACAACGGTTCAAATATTGCTGTCTCAAAACATACAATAAAAACATAGCGTGCCAAGATAGCCAACAAAAAATAAAAGGAAAACTACTCAGTCAAAAAGTATTTATATTTTACACAGAGGCGAAGCAGAGAATACAGACACAAAGAGAAGACGGTCTTTTCAAGGATACCAGTTTTCTGAAAATCGGCAAGGTAAGTTTGAAAATCAAAAATTTTGCAAAAAGTGAAAAAAATTTCCAAAGAGCTCAAAAAATGAAATAAAAATCCCAATTCCATAAAATTTCAAAATACATGATTAAACCAAACAAGAATTTGAAAAACATTCCATGCAAGTTTGAATTTTAAATTACCAAAGGAACAAAACTAACGAAGCGGAAGCAAAACCGACCATCTTTGAGCAGAAAAAAGTTGAGACGAAAAAAATTGATCTCATGTAGGAGCAACACTCTCAATCACCATGATACTTGCTTACAGCACAAGAAAAATCTCTGATGTGGCATCTAGGCCGAAAAAACTTGGTCAGACAAACAAAAGTCCTACAATTCAATTTTTACCGGAAAAAAACTTGAAATTTCAAACATACTGAAAAACAACAGCCGGGACTCGAATCAAGCACATTAAGCAGCAAAAGCGACCGCGTTACCTCCAGGCCAAATCGGATGGAAGCTAGAAATTTTAAGGTTCAATATTAAAACAAATGTAATTTCTTGTGAGAAAAGCTATTTACGAAAAAAACTCTAATGCCCGATTACAAGACACTTACTCTCTCAATTGTAAAAAATACTATTTAGGAGAACTCAAAAGCGGCAATTAAGCTGGTCAAGCTAGGATAGACACCCACTGAGCCGAAAACATAATTATTGTTAAAAAATTCGAAGGCCCCTCAAGCAGACACAAACAAACTATTGTTTTGTTTCTGTAAACGACTCATGTTGAGGCAATCGGCACAATATACACCTTAACTAAATAAGCCGAATACAGGTTTTCAAGCAAAAAAAATTGTAAAAAGAAACTATACGTAAAGATCTATGCTCAAGAAAAAAAACTGGGACCAAAATATAAAAAAAAAAACAATAAACGACCTGCAGTCATCTTTGTCCCAGAAAAAACACCAATTCTCAAAAAATACAGCTTCCTATTGCAATTGAGCCAAGACCTTTTAGTAGTTGGGACTTTTTATGCTTATTATGTAAAATGAGTTTTTGAAAAGAAATGTTTACGGTAAATAAAGTCAGCCCAACTGTAATATGCTTGCAATTAACCACGTGACATAAACATTTCTATCAAAGTTCAGATATACCAAAAAACTATTAGTGGAAAAACTGAAACTGATATACATATATTTCGAAATTTTGCACAGGCGAAGCTGAGCTTCGCATCCCTTGCGATACAAACATGAATGACTATGAGAATCAAAGGGATAAAACTCAAAACCTCGTTTTTGTCCATAAAAACTGCAAAAAGCCTAAAATATCCGGAAAAAGAACGCCTGCACAATTAGAAACTCAACAAAGAACTTTGTGAATGCTATACAGAACTCAAGTTGTCAAACAAAAAGTCATTCCTGCGGAGCTAAGCAGACAGACAATAATCTAAATTAGCAAAAATTTTCTATTTGCAACAAAAACAGGTCTCAACTGGAATCGAACTCCTGGGCTTTGTCGCCTCAAGCATGGGGGTTACAGCAATTTGGAATAAAGCTGAACTATCGAGCTACGGAAAGTAAGCCGACAAAAATAAACAGACGGACGATAGGCCGAAAAAGTACAAAAACTCAAGTTTGAAAAACAAGGGCCCGGCCGGATTCGAACCGCAAATATTTGCCGTCTCAAGCAAATGTTTTTCCTGTGCACCAGAGGCGCCAAACGGCTGATTGGAGTTGAACTAATAATTACTAAGCGGTAACAAAGCCGAAAAAACCTGAGCAAAAATACTTCATGCCGAAAAGAAAATCAAAAAAATTCTGAGCTTATTGAAAATGTTAAATACCTTTTCCCCTCAGAGCATATACGCGCGCACAAAAACTTTTTTCCGACGTAACGACGCAATAAGAGGCCATTAAGTTGATATTTTATGAGTCCAAATTTTTTAAGCCATAAAAAAGAACTTTTAACAAATCGAGCTGATAAAATGTGAGAAGAAAACTCGGCCGGATTTTTAAAATGCTTAAAAACAACTGCAGAGAAAATTGTTTACAACTAAAATAAACGATTCTTAGATGAAGCAACTAAGCCGACAAAACACAAGCAGACGAATAATAGCAAGAAACTTTTTTGAACCGGAACATTTACCGTTTGAAAAAAAACTGATCCTGGTTCGAACCCAGGACCTTTGCCGTTCCAGGCGTATTCGTTAGTATTAGGCTAAATGTGCGAGAGACACTAAAAAATTTGAATTTATTATGAACCAAGGTATCACCAGGAGCCGAATGAGTCCTTGGAAAAGTTGTTAACGGGAAACAATTTTGGTACTCGGTTGCAATACTTTTGCTATCGCAAGGGTAACGAGAAACTACCCGAAACATCTTTTTTCTTAAAAAAATATATTTCTCTAACTAATTCGAAAAACTTAACACAATGAAGGAATCATTTTTTATGAAATTTATTTCTGTGCTTCGTTGTGACTGCAAAGAAGGCAAAAACATAGCCATGAGAAAGTTGGAAAAATCTAAAGAACAAGGAAACCACAAAACGTTGAAAAAAAAATCAGCTTAACGCACTTTGAATTTCAGGAACAATTTATGATTGACACTTTTCTATAAAATTAACCTAACTTAGAACTCGATCATGAGTAAACTTTATTCCGCTGGGAATTCCCAAAATAAAACATTTTCGTTAGTTTTTTCGCTTAACTTCCGCTTTATTTAATTAGAGTGCGCAATTTACCCAACTTTAACAATGAACAATAAAATGAATTTCAACTGAGCTCATAAAGTCAAATATGCCCAAGGGCATGTATAAATGCATTCATAAGTACGAAAGCACTTCTGTAGCTATTAGAGCTTTTAAAGGTTTCTTCTGGGACAAAAAAATCATCAAGACCTCTAAAAAAACAAAATAACTTCGTTCTTTTTAAGTTAAAAAAAAACATT